TTTAAAAAAATATTACTCGATATTAGTTACTTTTATTCAGATATAAATCCGGATATTATCATGTTGTAGAGTCCGATAATATGCAATAAGTTGATTTTTTATATATATAGTTATTTTTCATCAAAAATTTTCTTTCAAAGGGTATTGTTTGATTTATTTGTAATTTGAGATTATCTAAAATTGATTTACTTTTTTAATCAAATCATTGCAATTATTTTTTTTTTTACTCTTTAATTTTATCATTATTATTAAAATAATAATCTTATTAAAATCTATAATAGGATTAATATTAAGATTAAAAATACCAATTTTACTATAATTGTATAAAACTTATTGTTATATATTGATATATATTTAATTGCAATTTATTTTTTTAATATTATATTATCTTTTTATATTAAAAGTTCTAAATTTTTAAATATCATTTTTAATATAAGATAAAATAAATTTCAATAGATTTATATTAGTAATCATTATTATTTAAATTTTAAAATTAGATACTGTTTCATATTTTTAAATAGTAAGAGCTTTTACTTTATAAGAAAGTGATTAACCAATAATTAGGAATAATTATATTAAAAATAAATTATGTTATATGTTAAGTATCATTTTATTAAGTTGATTTTAAAGATAAAGGTAAAGGTTAGATTTAATTTTTAAGTATATTCAATATATAAGTACAACAATTATTTATCTTTTAAAAGTTTATATATAAGAAAAATAACTCCTAGGGTTTATTGTTAATCTTATAAAGTTATTTCATTTTAAGGTTTCTTAATAATAGATAAAAATTATAATAATTCTAATATTTTATAAAAATAATAGAAAATAATGATTTTTATAACTAAAAATAATTCTTTTATTCAATTCTAATAGTAATTTTAAAGATTAAGTTAAATTTAGTTTTGATCAAATCTAATAAATATGATTTATAATACTAATAATAGTTTTTAGATAAATATATACAAAATGAATTATATTTATTAATAAGTAGTTAAATATAAATTAGATTTTTATAAACAATAATTCTTATAGATCTACTTTTAAAATAAGTCTTAATAATCTTTAACATCTTAAAAAAAAAATAATAAAATTATAAATAATATAAATAAAATTATTCTATAAATAACTTTATTTTAAATTTTATTTTCTCTTAATTTTCTTAAATATAAAATAAAAATAAGCTAAAAAAGATTGATTTCTAATATACTTGATAATGATAAATTATTATTAAATCAAATTTTTAATATAATTTTACATAAAAAAAAATAAGATTAATAAATAGTTTAATTGATAAAAAACTATCTTTACTTCTAGATTATAAATATCTATAATATTAAATTAGATATCAAAATTTATAAAGTTTATTTTAAATACATTTTATTAATTTAAAATTTAAAATAAAATAAAAAAAAAATCATTAATATCGATTTTAACTAAGCAAATTATAAAAATTATCAAATATAAGTCAGATGATAAATATTAAAAGAATTTTGATTTTATTTTTTTTTCTTAGAGTTATATAAAAAAATTTAAATCTTTTTTGATAATCTTAAAATAGAAGTTAATTAATTTTTAAGAATCTTTAGAATTTACTACTAAAATAATAATATTATAAGTTATTTAAAAATGATAATAAATTTAAAAATAATGATAATTTTGAAATATTTGAGGATTATATATCATTGATTATAAACTATTTTAAAATTCACTAAATTCATAAATTTGATGATAGTCAATTTTTATAAATTTTATTTTAAAACATATTATTTCAAACAAGATTTAATATTACAAATTTATAATTAAGATTTTAATAAAACTTATAAAATAGTCTTAATAAAATCAAAAGTAATAATTTTAGAATTTTTTTCAGATTCAATATTCTTAACAAAAAAAATATTTAGATTATAAAACTGATTTCAATATTTTTTATTTTTTATTTTAAATATTATAACTTATATCAAAATAAAAAATAATAAATTTTTAATAAAATAATATGTTAACTAATCATATTTTTATAATATATTATTATCTTAAAAATTAACGTATTGATAAATTGGGGTATACTGCAACAAAACCAGACAAAGTGAACATTCTATAAATAAGTGGCTGATTATGATGTGACTGTAAAATTGATCAGTGTGACTGATGACGTTTTGAAAAGTAATAATGGTGCTTATAGACTTGTAATTTTAACGTTCATATTATCATACCAGAATGTGATGAATATAAACCAATAACATGATTAATATAGGGCTATCTCTATATAAAAAATATTAACATGAAATTAATTTACATCAAATCCACTACGGATCCCAAAAATTAGAAGCATTTTAAAAAAAGAACAATTACTTTCTTAATTTCAATCAAGGTCATCTCTTATTTTCTTTAACTTCAATTTGAATAGTGTGTTGAGAAGTTAATTGTTCTAACTGAGTTTTTAATCTCTTGACTTCTTCTTTGTAGTTGCCATTCTCTGCTTCTAGTTGCTTAATTCAATCTAATAACTCTTGTTTTTGTCTCTTGCCTCATTCTTCAGATTTTTCTTGAAACCTAACTACTTCTTCTCTTCAATTTCTAAAGCTTTTTCAGTTTCGTTTAGTGTTTTTTGTAGATAATTTATTTTTCTTTCATAAAAAGCAGACTGACTTATTTCTTCATGAGGTAAGAGAGGGAGCTCTTTCTCTTCTAAATCTTTATTGTTTCTAATACAATAGCAAATATTCTTACTAATAACAATATCAAAATCTAGCTTAGTTTGTAATCTACCACATCTATTGCACTTTGGCAATTCATCATTCCAATACTTTTCTTCACACCTTTTACAAACCATATCATCTGCATCAGTAAGTTTTGGATAGGCGTTTGATGACATTGATCAATGTCATGTGTTGAAAAATGCTAAAAAGCGTTGAGAAACAGACCCAATGTCAATCAACGCATTTAAAAACGTATATATCAACATTATTTTATATGTAAATCAATATATAGTCAATCAACGCTAGTTGAAAAATGCGCAAATTATTGTTTGTTAATGCATTTATCAACACTAAAATATATTATAGCAACGGTGCTTCAAATAGTAGTTTTTTTACTAATAGTTTATTAATAGTATAATATTTTCGCAATCTAATGTAATTGATTCATTGAATTATCATAAAAAATATTATCTAAAAGTTAATATCGAGAATTTTGACGTTGTTTAGATTTAGCATGTTCAGTAATCTACTTTTACGATCTGTCATATTTTCTAGAATAATTATGAAATGAGAAATTAATGTTCTTTTGTATCATGTTAAAATAATGATTCACAAACCATCTTGAAAAAATCAATCGGCTATTACAAGATCATCATCATCAGAATTTTCTGGCTGTCTATCTTTATTAGTTATCAATACATCATCCACTACATCATCTATATCACCATCCTCTTCAATATGTTGATCCAGAGAAGAATAAAATGCTTCTTCATCAGCGTTGTCAACCTAAGTAAAAATAAAGTATTTTAATGACATGACAAAGAAATGAATAAGCCTAGATATAATAATTACAGTATATTTTTTATCAACTAATGTTTCGATCTATGAATCAAGAACTTCTGTATCAATTTTCGTCGAGAGGTATTTTTCGTTAAATATCGTCTCTAATACAGACTGTACCCAAATGCCGTTTTTTACTGTACGTTTGTTTTCTGATGAAAAAACTGATTTAATTATTAGTGTAATATAAGTGTCTGAATCTGGATCGTTCAGATCACTTAGAGTATACAGATCTTCGTGAACTTTTTGTACGTTCTCGAGTTTCTTCCATTCCTTCATCTGTGATTTAGTGTAGTTATCTCCAAACGGTTTTATCCTATTGATTCCAAATATACTCCACAGCGCTTCCTTAATACATTGCACATAAAGCTCCGAACAGTTCAGATTAATCTGAAAATTTTTAGTTCAGATCAACTTCAGTTCAGTTTTGGATTGCAAAAATTTCAATCTGAAAATTTTTAGTTTAGTTCGGATATTTTCAGATTATAAATCTAATCCGAACTGAAAAAAATCTGAACTGAACTGAATATTTCAGATTAATCTGAAATTTCAGATCGTTTAGAATGATGAAATTATCGTTTCAAACGAACGATAAAAAAATCGTTCAATTGGAATGATTAAATTATCGTTCTAAATGAACAATAAGAAAATCATTTGATTGGAACGATAAATTATCATTCCAAATGAACAATAAAATTATTGTTCCAAATGAACGATAAGAAAATCGTTCGATTGGAATGATCAAATTATCATTCCAAACGAATAATAAGAAAATCATTCGATTGGAACGATCAAATTATCGTTCCAAACGAACAATAAGAAAATCGTTCAATTGGAACGATCAAATTATCGTTCCAAACGAACAATAAGAAAATCGTTCAATTGGAACGATCAAATTATCATTCCAAACGAATGATAAAAGAATCGTTTAATTAGAATGATGAAATTATCGTTCCAAACAAACAATAAAAGAATCATTCGATTGGAATGATTAAATTATCGTTCTAAACGAACGATAAAGAATCGTTTATTTGGAACAATTGAAGTTATTGTTTCAAACGAACGATAAAGAATCATTTGATTAGAATGATTAAATTATCGTTTCAATTGAACGATAAAAAAATCGGTCATTTGGAACAATTGAAGTTATCGTTCCAAATGAATGATAAGAAAATCGTTCGATTGGAACGATTAAATTATCGTTCCAAACGAACAATAAGAAAATCGTTCAATTGGAATGATTAAATTATTATTCCAAAAGAACAATAAAAGGATCGTTCTAAACGATCCGAAATTTTAGATTAATTTGAAATTTTCAGTTCAGTTCAGATTTTTACCAGTTTACTGTTCAGTTCGGTTTCAGATTGGCCTATAATCTGGACTGAACTGAACCGTTTGGAACATTAATTGCACATAATAACTTTTCTTTGATCGATTTGAGATAAGTAACTAAACATTTCGATAGTATACGCCATTAACTTATTAAATAATACACATTATATTTGTTAATTGATGAATAATAGTAATAAATTAAAATACCAACAGAAGAATAAATTTTTTCTTCCTAGAGTTTATTGAATGTAACGTCTTTTTCTTCTAGCTTTATGAGTTGGCTACTACAATAATCATCGCTTTCCAGAAAAGATTTAAATCAAATTTTGAGTTCTTTATTCGTAATCTGTTGATTATGTTCGCGGAACAACTTGGTCAAAAATTGTTTAATGGTATCCTGCTGTAATACAAATAAATATAAATAAAGGACGTAGAAATAAAAGAATTAATAAGAAATATATAGTTACGTGGTAAAAAGGTTTCGACTTGTCAATTTTCTTTTTTCCTTTTCCTTTACTAAATTTGCTATCTTCTTCAGTTTCAATATCTCCAAATTTTTTCAAAAGTTCAGAAATTTGGGCGGTTTGTTCTTTAATCATACCTTCTAACCTACTTTGATTTTTTGTTAATTCATTGAGCGTTAAATTCATTTTTTGACAAATTTGTAATAACTTTAACAAACTTCTTTGATTTAGTTTATCTGCAGTTGCTACAATAAATACATAGTAAATATTAATTAATACATGATCGTGTTAATAAACGTAATAAACAGTTTATAAATGAAGAACTCTACCTTGAGAAGTTATTACTTTTGAGGAGAAGGAGGAGGGAACAACTTCTCTAGATTTAGATATGGCCATTGTTGCGGTTGTGGGTGTTTTAAAGAAAGCTGTATATATAATAAACTTTAATAAATATGTGATCGTGTTATTAAACGTAATAAACAGTTTATAAACGAAGAACTCTACCTTAGTGAGTTGTTACTTTAGAGGAGAAAGGGACAACTTCTCTAGATTTAGATACAGCTGTTGTAGAAGAACGAGCTGATGATGCTTTAGAAGAATTAACCAGTAATACTGTCAATGATGTTTTTTTCGTTGTTGGAAATAAAAGACTTGAATTATTATCGAATAAATCAATTTTCACTATTTTTACTTTTTTAGGTTGTGGAATAACATCGTCACTTGGTTGTGATGGTGAAGTTGAAGTTGAAATTGTATCCGATGTTTCTTGTAATAGTGGCAATAGAGTAATTGATTGTGTATCTATGATCGTGTATTTTTATGTGATTTAACAGCAGTATCTGTTAATAGCGTATTTTTGGAATACGTTTTATTCAATAAAATCTTCCTACCTGTCGAAGCCTAGAGGAGAATTATAATCTATATAAGTGACCTTAAATAAACATGATTTACACGACATATAAAATAATTGAATTAATTACCTTTTTTTTCGTCTTGATTCTAGTTAATCTTCTTTTTGGTCATTGTAAAACGTTAAAATTGAGAGTTTTACTTTCTTTGTTTTCCATATTCTATTTTAAAAAATATAAATTTAATTAAAAAGGAAGGAAGAAAAGAAAGAGAGTTAAAAAGCAATTCATTATTATTTCACTTAA